CAAAATGAGAAAGCTGCAGATTCAAGCGAGTTAGAAAGGGATTGAAAGTAAGAAGAATAGAGGATGATTTACGCAAGGGTGGAGTAGTTCACAAAAACATTGCTAGAGCGGCATAGAACAATGAGGGGTAAAGTAGCTAAGAACACCTAGGAGAATTTTAATATCCAGATATTTTCCCATGTTTAATGTTGTCTTCCTATGAAATTAAGAAAGGTTTTACCTTCAAGAAGGTCATCTATCAAGAAGAAGGTCTACACTAGAGCAGGATTTCTCAACCTGAGCAGAAAATTAGAATCATCTGAGGAAAAAAAAAAAAAAACCTCTTATTTTTTTTTCATTTGTTACTTTACATTTGATTTAAAAAAAAAAAAAAAAACTTTGCAAGTGAAATTAAAGAAGGAAAAAAAGTAACACATTCTCTTTTGTTTAACGCTTAACACAACACGGAGTCATTACTAAACCAGAATCTCACTTCTCTAGTTAGATTGAATTTTTCTGACGTGTTTAAACTTTAAGGCATTTTCCTTCCTTTGCAACTTCCTTACAATTTCATTTTGAATTTTTCATGATGTCACATAACGAAGTGTTGGTTTAGTACAGAATTCAGCACTTTGATTCCCAGTACAAATGATGTCCTCACAGAGAAAGACACACTAATCTCAGGATCTATACAGCTAAAGAGAGTTTCAAGTTCAAGTTTCCCACCGCTATGAACAGACTGTGGAAAAAAGAAAAACACCAATTTAAAATACTGAAAGGAAATTACTGGTGCTGGGAAAAGCATGACATTCAAAGAAAAATAAAATGCTTTGCATGCAAATATTCCTGCTAAAAATGTGACTTTTCAGGAAAATTATATCTTTGCTGTCATCTGGGTGATGATCTAGAATTCATGTTAAGACTTTTTTTCCCCCTAAACTACTCAAATTTAAATATCAAGATTTTCCCTTTGCAATTCTAAGGTACAAGTAAAATTGTTTTTAGAATATTCCCTTTCCAAAAGAAAGGGCCCTAAACAACCAGGCATTTTCTTATATTAAAAATATTTTTTAACATCTTTACACTTGTGAACATTCCCTACATGTATAAAACTGGAAACAAATTCTGATGGGTTGATACTGAACGTTCACCTAAAGGCTGAAAATGAATACATTTTAACATTATAGTATAGAGAAAAGGTGAAATGGTACAGACTTGGTATATGAAAATAGCAACAACAAAAAAATTAAACCTAATGAATAAGTGAGAAACATGTCATTGTTCTCTGAGTCCCACTCCAAATTTTGCCATCATTCATAAGCTAAATTGTCCACTTTTCACTTTACATTACATAGATTAGTTGCATGTAGCCTTTAAAAGAAAAGTAGGTTGCATTCATTTAGGTCAGATGAGTATCTTCTTTTAACCACCAAGGGTGAGCCCCCTCTGCTTATGGGAGTCCTATCATGACATATCCCTCAGCTTCCGCTCATCTTTCTCTACTTGAATATTCCTTTCCTTCTCTAACCTAATTATCCTTCCTTCAAGTGTCACACCATCCATGAGGCCTTTCCAAATGCCAAACTCACTTTCCTCTCTCTCCATCTTAGCTGAATCACAAAACCACAGCCAATGGGAAGGAAAAGTAGAAAAGAGGTTGCACTGTTGTGTTAAATGTCTCCGTTTCTTTCCGTTCATCCTGACAATCAGATTTAATTACAACACAAACGTTGTCTGGCGCCTGGGAGCTAGTCTCATGGTGAGAAGGAAACAGGAATGACTATTTATTGTGTGCTATGTGCCAGGCAGAGGAACCCTGGTGGCACAGTGGTCAAGCACTCGTCAGCTAACCAAAAGGTTGCCGGTTCAAACTCACCAGCTGCTACACAGGAGAAAGATGTGGCAGTCTGCCTCCGTAAAGATTCAGTCTCAGAAACCCTATACAGTCACCAGGAGTCAGAATCAACTTGACGGCAGTGGGTTCAGCGGGGATGTGCCAGGTGCTTCCTACACATTTTATTTATTCCACACGTATACCTGTCTCCTAGGCTGCCACTCCTTAGACGTTGTTTAAAGCTACCAGCACAGAGGTTAAAGTGCTCTCCTGCTAACGAAAAGGTCAGCGATTCGAACCCACCAGTCACTCCGTGGAAGAACGATGTGGCAGTCTGCTTCCGTAAAGATTTACAGCCTTGGAAACTCTATAGGGCAATTCTACTTTATCCTAGAGGGCCGCTATGAGTCGGAATCTACTTGACAGCAGTGGGTTCCGTGTTTAGTTTTTTTTGTTGTTCGTTTTGTTTTATATCCTATATTAGCATAGAATCAGAATATATATAAATTTAGTAAGTAAATGACGAGCACCTACTATGTTTATGTTTGTTAAAGTGGAGGGACAGCAAAGGCGAGGAGAATCCTCAGTGAGATAGACGGACACAGCAGCCACAACAATGGACTTAAACATACTAACGACCATGAAGATGGCGCAGGATTGGGCGTGGTTTCATTTTGTTAAACATAAGGCCACCGTGACTCAGACACAACTCAATGGCAACAACAACAACAACAACGTATTTATGTAATTAATTGTTTGTTCTCTACAAGTCTACAAAAGGTAAATATTTTAAAACGCGAATCTGATTATGTCTCTCTAGAGTTTAAAGACCTTCCATGGCTGCCAAAGAATAAAATTTGAGTTTTCCTAAGCATAATTGGCCACTGGATTTTTAAAAATGAAAATATCTCCTGCCTCTCCCTTTTCCCTGCCCTCTAAAAATGTTCCACCTTTGTCAATCCCGTTCTGGGTCTTTTGTGATGTAGAATTAGGAGGACAGTTAGACAAAGTAGGGACCAGAGAAGAAAGGCATGGAGACATTAAGTAAACTCAATAATAAAGAGATAGAAAAGAATTGGGGGAAGGAGGGTTGAGAGGGTAGGTCACAGAATACTTAAGAAAAACTGGGAAGGTTTTTGTAGCACTACATAACAAGTACCAGGGTACGCATTCCTCAGTCTGGTCCAGTGGACTGGTGCAATAATTTCCTCATAGACCAGGATACTTTTCTTCCTCCCATTCCCTGTCCTAAGCAGTTGGCTTTCCTCCTCAGAATTGACACCTTATCAGCTGTACCAGGAGAGACATCACTTCTCACATAACCACGAGGGATGAGTGAAGAACAGAACTTTCTACATATATCTACCTTTTCAATCAAAGAAGAAAAATTATTTCCCAGGAGTTTCCCCCACCAATAGCTCCCTGTATCTAACTGACCAGAACTAAGCCATATGGACATCTCTAACTGCAGGGGAGGCTAGGAAAGTATTTGTCGCTCTAACGCTCTATTGTGGACAGATGGTCTCAGAGTAGGGAAGAGGGGGGAAGGACTAGTCAACCAAATGTGTAGTGTCCATCACCACGTAAACATATTAACTAACTCTAAATAGTTATTGCAAAGTTTAACTCTTAATTTCTAAAAGATAAATTATCTTAAAAAAATGTATTACACCCAGACAAAACTCAGAATATACTAATTGCCTTAGTCAACTAGTGCTGCTATAATAGAAATACCACAAGTAGATGGCTTTAACAAAAAGAAATTTATTCTCTCACAGTCTAGGAGGCTAGAAGTCCAAATTCAGGGTGCCAACTCCAGGGGAAGGCTTTCTCTCTATTGGCTCTGGGGGAAGGTCCTTGTTATCAATCTTTCCCTAATCTAGGAGCTTCTCAGTGCAGTGACCCCGTGTCCAAAGGACGCACTATTCTCCTGGCTTTTGTTTCTTGGTGGTATGAGGTCCCCATGTCACTCTGCTTGCTTCTCTCTTTTATATCTCAAAAGAGATTGGCTTAAGACACAACATAATCTTGTAGATTGAATCCTGCCTCATTAACATAACTGCCTCTAATCCTGCCTCATTATCATAGAGGTAGGATTTACAACACATAGGAAAATCACACCAGATAACAAAATGGTGGACAATCACATAATACTGAGAATCATGGCCTTGCCAAACTGACACATATTTTGGGCAGACACAATTCAATCCATGACACTAACCAAAAAAAAAAAAATTCAACAAAGGGTACAAGGCAGGACTTTGCAGGAAAGTGACTGCTAAACTATTCTGAGTAAAATAGTCCCTCACTCCTCCCAAGTTCTTTTTCCTTTGCTAGTAGGGAGACCTGTCTCTACACCAAAATATGTATTCCTTGCCCTTGGGAATAGTCAACAGACAGGAACAAGTACCTAGATGATATACCAAGGACCATTCCATGAGTTCAGCTTTTCCCAATCTCCTCACCTTTTCCTCAGGCAGGACCAAAACTCTATTACTACTTCTTTATGTAATTCAGACATTGAGGGTACACAGTTAGTGTTATTTACAAATACTACAAATAAGTGAGGAAGTTAAATCTGGGGCTCACCCCCTTTTCCAATTCTAAGGAAGGAAAAACATCAGGAAGAACATTAGGCCAAAAACACAGTCTACCCAGCAAAACTCCCCATGTGAAGAGAGATGATTCATTAATAAAAGACAACAAGCCTACTCCTATTACAAAAGGGCCTGATTTAGAGGTTGACTTTAAGCCAGAGAAAGAAGCTACCTGAATAGGAATGAACTGAGAAGAAATAAGGAGACAGCTACCTGGACTGTCACAGAACTACCCCAGGAAAGTAAAGGAGGGGACCATTCAAATCAAGTTGGCTCTGGACTATTATCTGGACTACTGAAAATCCTTCTCTGGTGCTCACTTCTCACTCCAATCCCCTGCCCCTACTTCTTAAGTGTGGCAACTTACAGCTGGTATTGGAAACTGGTTCAATTCATGTTCCTAACCCGACCGTCTAGGTTCTTCATTCTGTCCCACTCCCCATTCCCACAAGGAGACCTACCTTTCCACTGTGGAACATCAATTCTTTCCTCAAGATAAGGAGGTAAACAAAGGAAGGGAGGAGGAGTAAAGAGTAAAGTCATGAAGAGAGTACATGAATTCTATCCATTATTTCACAGTCTTTGCCCAGCATAAAATACTTCATCTTATTTTTTAAGGGAAGAAGAGCACTTCTCCATATCTCTTCTCTCAGTCATCTCTCTCCACTCCCAACCACTCTACTCTCTTCTTCCATGACTCATTCTCTCTTGAGAACCAGTACACCCAACCCTTAAACGTCCACACCTATTTCAATAAAGGATGTATTCTCTTTATTAAGACGCACAACAATTTTAAAAATAGGGCTTTCCACAACATTAAAAAACAAAATCTAACTCTTTCACACCCCCGTCCCTTTCATCTCTGAAGTACCAGTAAGGAACGGACTTGTCAGAGGAAACTGTTCAAGAAGCCATCTAGCAAATCAGGTGGAAAACTGGGATCATTTCCTTTCGGTTTGCAGCGATCCCAGTGTACTCTGTAGAAAGGAGGGGGACCAATTTTTTACTGCTCATGCCTTCCTCTGCCCACTAACCCCCTACATCACTGTCCCCATCCTTACCTTCTACCTGGGAGATGAGGAAGTAGGTAGACCCCTGCAGTGCGGTAACATTCTGGGATACAGGGCACTTGCCTGGGCTTTTACTGAATCCAGAGATGGAACACGAAACACGGCACCAAGATGCAGGGTCCCTGTCTAGAGTTTGTTAGAGATAGATGGACACACCAAGAAAACAGCAGAAGAGGGTTTCAGTGCAAAGGACTAAGCCAGAGGATCAAATATCCAACGTCTGAAGATGTTTTTCAGGATGGGAAAGGGGAACTCACTTCGGAGTCCTGGCGAATCCGGACCGGGACTTATGGTCTTTGCCTGGGAAGAACTGTACAGAGAGAATCCTAGCAGCTGCTCCTTCAGAAACAGAGATCGCTCCATCTCTATCTGCTGGCGCCGAGGGGAAATCAAGTCATAGAGGAGCTGGGAGTGTCTCAACCCCAGAGACGCCCCCAATCGTGCGCTTACCTCGTGCTTACCTCAAGGCCCCGACGAATGGCGGCTTCGGTGAAGTGGTATCTCTCCGCCTTAAAGTGCGCCCGCTCCTGAGCAAAGAGGGCCTGGGCCTCCTTCAGCCTCTGCTCTTCCTACACAAAGTAGAAGCCCCGGAGGTGGGCTGGCAGCTCCTCGCCAGAGCTGAGCTGCTCCTGCACAAAGGGGGCCGGCTGACCACTGTTCCTGCCTCGCAGCGGCGCCCCTCACCTGGAAGCAGCTCTGTTGCCAGGCGACGAAGTGCCAACTCCGTTGACTCTCCTGCAGCAGCTGGAGCAGCTCCTTGTCGTGGTCAGCAATGCTGATAGTGGGGTCTCTGCCTAGAAGCTCTTCTGCAGGCTTGCCTGAAACAGGCCAGCATGATGATGCAGAGTTCGTATTAACAGGGTTTCAAGCCTCAAGCCCAGAGTTACCTGAGAGAAATGTCCTGACCCCACCCTCACCCACACAGGGACCATCTTGAGCCTCCAAGTGGCCGGGGCGGGGGGGGGGGTGTATGTGGAAATCCTACCTTGTTTCTTCAGTACCTCACCTTCCTGCTTGAGGCAACTCCAACGTTCCCACACTGCACCACAATCCATAGCTATGGCCACGTGGGCTTTCTGGGGAGGGGAAGACGGTACCCACTGGGAAAGAGGAGGAAAACTTGGGTCAGTCTTCGATGAAGACGATCCAGCAAGCCTGAAGTTTTGGACCAAGGCAGAAGCCTTCTAGAAACTGGAATGTTACCCATCTGGCTCCTGCTGAGAAAACATCACCACCTCCCACCTCATCTTACAGTTGAAAAAGATATATTTAGAACATCAGGAGCCTGACTAAAGGTCTATTCCTGCCTCTTTCCATGCAAGAAAACGCACAGTAGGACTGTCCCACGGGCAACCCAGGGTTCTAGCCACATCCCTGTCTAGCCTGGTCAGCAACTGCCTGAGTTCTTCATTTTTCCTGGAAACTGCTGCCACTTGGTTCTCCAGGTTTCTCACCACTGTCTGGAACAACTCTCCCTCTTTCCTAAAAGACGGAACAGGACAGGTGACAGAAAGAGAAGCAAATAGCTCAAAACTCATCAAAGCATTCCAGCTCACTTCTCCTATCCCCTTACACCCTGGTCTCCCTGCTCCCTATGACAGCCAGTCCCTTGCTACTTACTGTTAGCTTTGCCGATTTTCCACATGGTCTGCTTCCCATTGGACTGCTTCAGGTTGTTGAGAATATCAGCCTCTAGGTGGGAAAGGAGGAAAGAGAAGGTGTGTGGATGGTGAGGAGCTTTCTCCTAGGAAAGCTCCCCTTCACAACCCAGAGACTGACTTCCCTGGCGATTCTGCCGTTCCCCCTTCATGTGCTGCACCCGCTCCTTAAGCTTCCCCAGCTCCTTCTCCCTTCTCTTCAACTCAGAGTCATACTGTGCCTTCTGGTTGATTAGCAGCTGTTGTAATCGCTTCACCTGGTTGGGGGTGGGAAGGTAGAGGAAACCATGGAAGAGGAAAGGCATAAGCAGCACTCCCAGAGCCATCAGAGAAGGGGGCCTTACACGTGTCGAGAAAAAGAGTAGGACCTTCTATATGCAAGTGGAGGAAATGGTTATGGAAAGCATGCCATCCTTCTCTGCCACCTGAAGCCATAGCCTGGAACTCTACTTCTTGCCAAGCCTTCTCCAGGTCACAGCTCCGTTCCTCCAGCTCTTGTTCCTGGGTCCGCACAGCAGCAATCTTCTGCTGACATATTTGTACCTGAGCCTGGAGCCAGGCAGGAAAAGACGGCTTTTCTGAGACAGAGATTCTCAAACATTAGTGGGCATCAGAATCATCTGGAAACCTTGTTAAAACAGATTCCAGAGCCCACCCTCTAGAATTTCTGATTCAGTAGGTCTGGGGCTGGGTCCCAGAATTTGCATCTCGAATAAGCTCCCCAAGTCTCTGGGTAGTGCCAACAGTTAACACGCTTGGCTGCTAACCAAACAGTTTTAGGTTCAAGTCCACCCCAGGGTGCCTCAGAAGAAAGACCTGGCAATCTTCTTCCAAAAATATCAGCCACTGAATACCCTATGGAGCACAGTTTTACTCTGACACACATGGGGTCACCATGAGTCAGAGCTGACTCACAGTAACTAGGTAGCAAGTTCCCAGGTCATCCTGACGTGCTGGTCCAGAAACCACACTTTGAGAACCACTGCTTTTAGCCCTACCCTATTACTTTACCATCCATTTCCTTTCAGATCCTAAGCAGCCTTCACTGGCAGGAAGTGATTCTGGGCATTTTAACTCCTCTCTATGCCCATTCTGTTGATTCTTAACCTTCAGGGAGTGATAAGATAGTTGCTCACCACCCCTGGAGGCCATTTTGTAGAGTGGTTGAGAATGTACAGGGTCTGAAGTTAGAGCTGGATTCAAGTCCTGCCTCTGCTACTTGCAAATTATGACCTTAGCAAGTTGCTAACTTCTGAGCTGCTGCCTGTCCTCAGCTATGGGATGGGGATAAAATCTACCTCCTAGAGAAAGCATGCCAAATGCTTAGCTCAGTGCCAAGTATCCAGTGTGTACTTTATCATTCTTAGTTATTCACATTATTGTTGGAATAACCTTTTCGCACAAGGTCTGCTTCTTTCAGTCTTCTCCACACTATGCACTGTCATTTATCTGTCCAACAGTCCTGCCAGCCAGTATGGAGGCCCTCAAGTGCTATCTTCAATAGATCCTGACTCCTGTGCTTCCATTGTTCTAATTCTGGTTCCCATAATCTCTCTCCTGAACTACTGCAAACCCCCTAAATAACTTCTTTGACAAAATCCTCCCTGTCAAATTCACTTCCCACTCGAGCATCCAAGCCCTCTTCCTAAAGCACAGTTACGATCAGAAAACCTCCAATGATTTCCCAATATAATCAGAATTTCTTTTTTGTGTGAAAATAAGTGGGGTGGCCCTGGAGGAGGGGAGTGGTCCTCCTCTCCCCGCTCTGCTTAGACCAATTACCTCCTCCAGCAGGACCTGTTGAAATCCTGCCTGTCCTCCAGAGGCCAAAGCCAAGTTCCTTCCTCCTTCTGGTTCTCTCATTTCATTCACCTTTCCTCCCTAAATTCTCATAGTACTTTGTATTCTATCAATATCATCATAGTGTTCCCTCAATTAGAGGTAAACGTATACGTCATTCTCTAGATCAGGAGGTCTCTAAAGCCAGGAACCAAATACCTTCCTCTTTATATCCCCTAAAATCTCAGCACTGTGCTATTATTAAAGAAATAGTTATTCTACACCTACGTCAGAAGATATTTTTAAATGTACTGGAAATTATGAATGTTTCTCTTCACAGAACAATTCTTTAGCTTGTTTTTTATGTTTCCTTGTTTTTATTTTGTGCTCTTCATGCTCTGTAGTCTCCTTTGGGAAGTCTGGACAAGGGCACAGAGAGTGGACCTTCTGCTCCCTGGGACAGCCTCAAGATAGCAGAAGTCCATTTGAAGTCTGGCCTCCAGCGTTTACTTGTTGATCCTGAAAGCCCCTGAGACTTCCATTTACTCATTCCACAAATACTTCTCTAAATCCCTTTTGCTTTTCTAAACCTGTTGCTGTTGAGTCAATTCCAACTCATAGTGACCCTACAGGACAGAGTAGAACTACCCCTTAGGGTTTCCAAGAAGCAGCTGGTGGATTTGAACTGCCAACCTTTTGGTTAGCAGTTGTAACTCTTAACCACTGTGCCACTAGGGCTCCTTTGCTTCTCTAGTAGCAATAATTTAACCTTCTGGGAGAAGTCCCAGGCCACAAGTTCTGCCACTCAGGGCCATCTGCAGTCACCCATTGCCTATGTATTTTGTGTCCCCTCCCCAGACTAACACTTTATATTTTTATAAGAAAGCACACTTTCCAAAGTCCTTGCATAGAGGCCACTTGCTCCTAAACTTTGCTGCACACTGGAATCCCCTGTAGCTTTTAACCCCTCCCCATGTCCAGGTTGTACCCCATACCAATTAAATCAGGATGGGGGCAGGGAGCCAGACATCCTCGTGTTTTTTAAAGATCCCCAAGTGATTTCACTGTGAAGCAAGTTTTGAGAACCACTGGGCAGACTGTAATCATTCCCCACTTCCATGAGGTAAAGAAAATCCCTGCCTCTGTCTCTCATTAGTGCCCACCACAATACTGAGCATCAGGGACATGAAGCCCAGAAGGTCCATTAAGGCTCTCGATCTCTTACCTGGAGTGCACCCTGCTTATCACGAATGGAGTACAAATCTCTGAAACACTTCTGCTGTCAGCTGCACTGCAGTCCTGGAGGGTTCAAACAAACAAACAAAGAAAGCAAAACACAAACTAATTGCTGTTGAGTCAATTCTGGGGGGCTCAGAGTGGGGTAAGTTCCCCAGTGTAACCTCCTCCCAATCAAGTGCAGAAAGCCCAAGGAGAAGGGAGGTTTATCCCTTAACTAAGTCTTCCCCATCCTACACCGCCCATCAGAGATCAAGATGTAGAGGCAGTTCACGTCACCAAGTCTCACTAAGACACCACCCATGTCCTCTTAACCCAAGGCACCCTCCTCACCTTATACAAGGAACTGTCCATTTTCTAGCTGGAGAGCGAAGCATCCCACTGGGGTAAACTGGACCTACCTGAGCACCAGGAATGGTTAAGTAGGAAATGTAAGTGTTCAGAGGTGGAAAAGAAAATAGAGAAAAGCTGAGTAGATACAGGAAAGGGAGGAGGAGTACCCTTGAGGTAGTAGGTTATTGTTGAAGTAAAAGAAGCATACCTGCAGAGCAGAACATCCATATGGGCCAGAACACAGAGTTAGGCAGAAGTGAAAGTAAGTAATGAAAAGGCTCCAGCTATTACCTGCCGTCAGGGCCATTCCTCATGAGGTTCCGTGATGCTTCCTGAAACAAGAAAATTGTTGGTAGAAGCAGGATTTCCTCTAGCTTTCTGCAGATCAGCCATAAAGTTAAGGAAGGGGCTGGAGCCTGCCCAAACGTTACTTACTTCAACCTCAATTACAATCCCCCACCTTCACCCATAATGATAAAGTTTTTTAAACTGAAAAATATTTCAGGGATCAAATAGTCAATTTTTGTTATTTTACTAATAAGGAAAACAACTCAGAGTCACATACTTCTTAAGTGGCAAAACCAGAAATAAATCCAAGTATCTTAATTCCACATTAATTTTTTCCACTGTACCAGATTTCCTTACTCACTAATTTTCACCTTCTACCATCTCTAACCTATTTGTTTCCTAGCTAAATAGCCAGCAAAGCTAGAGACTGAGTTCTTACCCAGCTAGTTTTGCCAGTCTCAGAAAGCTGCATTTCCCAGAAGGACTCTTTTTTAAGGCCTACTAGCTTTCTCAGTGGATCTTCTTGAGTCCTTAAAAAAAAAAAAAAAAAAAAGGAAGAAAATGTGTGAAAGGAAAGTAACAGGAGTGGCTGATCAATCTCATTCCACCTTATAAATGCTGAAGATTTTCAACATGGAGGCCCAGACTCCCAGAGCCAGCTTAGTTACTCACTAAGTTCTCAACCTTGTCTAGTATTAGAAATGCCTGAGGAGCCTTTAAAAAGTCCACGACACCAAGCTGTGCATCAGACCAATTAAATCAGAATCTCTGAATGGAAAACTCAAGGACAGGATTTTTAAACCTCCCCAGGTGATTGCAACGTGCAGACCCACTGCTCTAACAAGCTCTATGTTAGCTCCTCTCTCTGACACCAAGGCTCAGCAGCTGGTATGTACACGTTCTGGCGGGAAACAGCTGAAGGAAGATGTGAGAGGGCAGTTCTTTGGCAGCAACGTAAAAACTTCAGCTGCCACCCAATAGAGAATAAAGCCACACTTTAATTTTAAAATAAAGCCTCTAATTTTCTTGGGTCAGTCATTGCTCTCCCTTTCAGCTTTATTCCTCTTTCCCTGTTCTATAAAATTATAGAGATAAAGAAAGCAATAATACTAACAGGATCACCATTAGAGGTGGACGCCATGTCTTTTTTTTTCCCAATCCTCAGTGACCTCCTGGAGCTGAAATAAACCTATACTTGCTCCTCCATCTGTCTGCTAAGTTGACTGCCTTGCCCATTGGTTCTTCCTTCTTACCTCCACTCCCCCAGACCAGCACATTCTCCTGTTAAGGCTTATCTAAGGAGTCACCTTCATGGAAGAAATATGAGAAGGCTTCATGAGAGAAGCATTTGTCTGGTTAGCATTTACCACCACCGCAAAGAATGTATAGGCTGGGTGTTATCAGCTGGCTAGGATCTGGGGAGTAGAAAAGGATTGGGAAGGTAGTTCACAAGGGAAGAGAAAACAGGTAAGAAAGCATAATGTCTGTTTAGAAGCCCATGATACTACACTGGAACAGCTCAGATCCATGACTGAGCATTCATCTTTGATTGCTGGGAAGCAAATTGGACTGTATTTCAGCTGTATTTCAGCCCTATATCTTTGGGAGAAGTTTTTAAATTCCATTAGCCTCAGCACGCTCTCCTGTAAAATAGGAGAACGATGTCTACCTTGAAGGGTTTACAGAAAGATTACTGATCTTGTACATAAGTGCCTAGTATGGTAAATGGAGATAATAATAAAAAAAAAAAAAAACAGTTGCCATCAAGTCAATTCCGAATGATAGCGAACCTCCAATAAGTAACAGTAATAGCAATGGTATCAGCCGTAGCAGTAGCAGTGACTGTTGTTATTAGGCTTATAGCCCAGAGAAATAGCTTATAACCCAAACTGAAAGCTCTCACTTTATTTTATTCAGTTTATACTGTTTTGGTCAAAGCTTTATGTAATATTCACAGGTATGTAACTAAAGCTTACAATACTTATAAATTCTTGAAAAAAACCCTTTAATTCCTAGTTTTAAGATACTAGAATAATATGAGAAGGCTTAAGACAAACTTTACAGTCCTTAAATTAGTGAAACCAGGTTAAACAAATGGTCTTTGGTTTTAAAAAGCAATGAGAAAAAAAATGAACAGAGTACGCAAAAGAAATTGGAGATATACGTAGAATATAAGTAGAACGTGAACAAGTCTGAAATCAAGAGAGACTTCTTTCTGAATATGTGAAGAAATAACTCATTCTTCAGCAGAGTATTTAGGGGAAAAATTAATAATGTAACACAATGTGGCAAAAAGGTGTATGAAATCTTTCTCCTACTGATTGTGAATGTATCAGGCAAATTACGAACAAATTCATAAGATATTTTATAGCTCAAAGAAAAATACTGGATAGCTGTATGACTTTGGGAACGTTTCTTACTTTCTCTGAGCATCAGCAAAATTGGGATAATAATAATAATAGGTTGCTCTTATCTGTGTGGAATTAATATTGGTGGGGCATATAAAGCACCTAATATAATGACTGTTTTGTTATTGTTGTCGAATATCATTTTTATCTCTGCTGCTAGGATTCAAGTGATTTAGTAGAAAGATTTGAAGTCATATCAGAGGACAAGGATCTGGCTAATTTCCAATATCTGATTCTGATACAAGATTAGTAGGAACCCCCTGAAACTATTGTCCTGAGATAATCTTTAAACCTTAAACTTGAAAACGAAAATATCCCCTGAAGTCTTCTTAAAACTAAATAGTTCAGCTTAACTAGTAAAGAATGTCTGCCTTGAGCGTTCTATCTATATGGGATCAGACGGACAACAGCAACTTTAAAGATTAGATAGGAACCTTAGGGGGCAGTGAGTTTATGTTAATGGGGAAGGAACAACTCAGAAAAAGAGGATGAGAATGATTGCACAACTTGAAGAATGTAATCAATGTCACAGAATGTACCTGTAGAAATTGTTGAATTTGTGTATGTTCTGCTGTGTATATTCTCAACAACAACAAAAATACAACAACTTAAAAAAACTGTTAAAGAAAAAAAAAAAAGATTAGCAGGAAGTCTTAGGTATGTCACAGGCTCCTGGGATCCTTACTCTTAGTCTTATTTTGTCAAGTAGAAATTACTAAAGTTACAATAGTACTTAACAAGAATTCTGGATTTTAATCAGGCAGACTAGTTCTGTTAAGTGATTAACATCCTGTTTATGTTTTTTCTACAAAGTTTTGATCAGAAAGCCGTGTTATAAAGAGTTTTTAACTTCTAATGATGGGAGACCCTTTCTAATCAGCCTCATCATATCTAAAACTACATTTGGGGAGTGTACAAGAAGTTGAAAGGGGTAGAAGCATCCAAAAAGTGTGTTGAAATGTAGTCTGTCCTGTTGGGGCAATTATCTATAAACAGTGACCACAGGGAGCTTTGCAAAGGGCATGACAGGCCTTTCTATTTTATTCATTTATCATCAAATATTTCTTAAGCTATCAGTCTGGGTCAGCCACTGCTATCACAAGCAACCCCAAAATTTCATTGGCTTTGTATTACAGTAGGGTTTAGTTTGCCCACACAAAGTCCAATCTATCTTTCCTGGTTAGCAGCATTCATCCAAGCTATGACAAAATCCCGCGTACTTCCACTTAGTGACTCTGTAATCCTCTAGGATCTCTTCAGAGTCCTCTGCTGGATGCTCTGCACTCAGTCAGTTGACAGGCAAAAAGAAAGACACCTTAGAAAATTGAGTGCCGATACTTAACGACTTCAGCCCACTGGATTCACATCACTCTGGCCACAGTGCATTGGCAAGAACTAGTTACATCATCTTACCTAGATACAAGGGAAACTGGGAAAAGTAGCTGGGCAGCCACTTCCCAGAAATAACTCTACATGATAAATAAAACAACAAGTTGTCATCGAGTCGACTTTGACTCATGGTGACCCCATGTGTGTCAGAGTAGAACTGTGCTCCGTGGGGTTCAATGGCTGATTTTTCAGAAATACCTTGCCAGGTGTTGCTTCTGAGGTCCTGCAGGGTGGAAATGAACTTCAACCTTTCTGTTAGCAGCCGAGCTTGATAGCCATTTGTACTACCCAAGAACTTCATGGTATGTGATCGTGTTGCTCAGCTAGCTGTCTCTGCCACAGGCCTCTAGGTGCTCAGAATAGATCAGTTTATAAAAACAAAAGATAAAAATTCCTCTCCTCATGGAGTTTACAGTCTAGTTCATGATTATTCTAATAAGGAGCTTCCTCTTAACTGTTCAGTGTACTGAACTGTCTTTTATCAACTTGACATCATCCTCATCCTTGTCTACAGTGTGGAACTACATTTCCCAGAACCTTTTTCCAGTGTCGCTCAGGATTAGATTCTGTCAGTGAGGCATTCCCAAAAGATCTGAAGAAAAGCAGCCATTTTCTCAGCAGCAGCTGTTTGCAGGCAGATGAGATCACTATTGGCAGCATTTCTTGGCTTTCTGCGCTTCTCCTCGGAGTCACCTGCTGTAGGCAGGCCACTGAGATCATCAGCAGAAGCTTCCAGTGGCTCCAGGCATCCTCCTGAGAATAACCCACTTCAGTGCTCCATGCAACTAGGATCATTGATAGTGACTATTCTGCAATCCTTGACTTTCAGACTTGCAGAAAAAATAATCTTCTGAACTTTCTTTCCCACAGCCTTTCCAATGCTCTGAGTTAGCTTTTCTCTACTCAACATACTAGGGTGGCTTCTGTTTCCTAACCAAGCCATGGCACACTCAGGATAAAAATGTCCAGTGCACTTATACACCAGTTTAAAAGAATATTTAGTGTTTGATACATACCAGGCCCTATACTAGATGCTGGAGAATGTCGTGATAAGCCAAACAGATAAGCTTCTGTCTTCACTGTGCCTGTATTTATAATCTACTCAGTAAGAAACATATGGAAAATAATAAGCTAGTAAATATATATCATAACAAGTGCTGTAAAGCAAGATTACAGAGTGCTAGGAAGGAGGACAATAAGAGGATTTTTTTTAAAAAATAGGGAAAAGTAAGAGTTGGGATGGGTAGACTCCCATTATCAGCATCAAGTGCTGCATGACTAATTGAAAGAGATTTAGCAGAATCTTTGGAAATATATATTATTACTTAAATGTCCTTAAGGCTTCTGAATTGTATGATATGATGACATATCACAACAGGGGTTACAATGTATTAAAGTCACAGTAAATATCTTCCAGAGGCAAGAAAACTTTCTTGGTTTTTATGCAATAGGACAAACTATTTCATCTTAGCTATATCATGCAGTGATTTGGGTCATCAGTGAAATGAAAAAACAGTTGGATATTGTCTTAGTCATCTAGTGCTGCTCTAACAGAAATACCACAAGTAGATGGCTTTCACAAAAAGAAACTTATTTTCTCACAGTCTAGTAGACTAGAAGTCCAAATTCAGGGCGTCAGCTCCAGGGGAAGGCTTTCTCTCTCTGTCAGCTCTGGAGGAAGGTCCTTGTCATCATCAGTCTTCCCCCAGA